CAAGATTCACAAGATAGACCCTGATATCATTGTAGTAAGTTCCTATTTCACATACACTTATATGGTTTGATGTTTTCACACAAGCAAACAGTGCCCTCAAAATGATTATATTGCTGAAATATAATTGGGCCAAAAATGTTGTGAAAACACAAATAGATAACTAGATGATGTTTACAGAGCTTAAAAGTTCATTGATTGAGACTACAAAATTTGCAAATCACAAATGTCTATCATTTCAGGGTCATGATATATCAAATTTTGATCTGGATGTCTTATTACATCGTATAAACGCAAACAAGATTCCACACTGGTCTCGAATCGGTAGACTGAAGAGACAAATAATGCCAAAGTTATCTGTAAGTAACTTTTTTAGTCCCCGTTCGGACGCAGTCCGAAAACGAGGACTTATGTTTTGACCTCTGTTTTGTTCGTGCGTCTGCGTCTTTGCGTGCTTCCGGACCTGTATCTTAGAAATGCCTGGACCAATCACAATCAAACTTCACACATACATCATACATGATATACATATGCACGTCAATTTGTTTCACGATCTGATTCAAGATGGCCGAATGGCGGTCATTTTTGTGCTAAAAAAATCCTAAAAATCAAGCATTTCTCGGCTGTTTACAGATGGATTTTGTTCAAACTTGGTATATACATTAGACATTATAGGACCTTGATGCAAATAATTTTGTTTTTCAGATAAGATTCAAAATGGCCGACTGGCGGCCATTTTGTTTTAATGAATGTGGTTCTAGTGCCATATCTCTGACTTGCTTTGACTGATTATGTTCAAATTTTAAATATTCATTATACATCATGTCATAGATAGACAGATATATTGGTTTGACGATCCTATTCAAAATGGCCAAATGGTGGCCATTTTTGTGCTAAAAAATCATCAAATATCAAGCATTTCTGGCATTTATGCATGGATTTTGTTCAAACTTGGTACATATATTAGACATTACAGGTTCCTGATGCACATCATTTATTTTTCAGATCGGATTCAAAATGGCTGTCTGGTGGCCATTTTAAAATGGATTGTGAGAATCCACATTAAAAAAATGTATCAGTGTGACAGTAACGACAGAATATATTTCACAAATGCATACATTAACATGCATTACTGGTTGATTTATTCCTAGTCTGGTGGGAGGGTTGGTTTTGCTGAGAAAAATGCAGTTTGTGGTCGTTTAATATCTGATGTGAAAATATCATCAAGAGAACTGATCAGATGCAAGAGTTATGATCTGACTGAACTGGCTAGTCATATACTGAAACACCAAAGGGATGTCATACCCATGGAAAATCTCAAAAATATGTTCACGTGAGTTTTGAATTTCAATTTCACACTGTAATTCCCTGAGAATATAAAGTGCAAACTATGCTGTGAATTAGTGGTGGTTGTACTGTATTCAGACTTAATTAATATCCTTAAACAATAATGAACGACCCGCCAACCCATAATAGGAGAAAGCTTACTTTGTGCGACAAATACCGTAAAATCTGTATTAGAAGCCGCATCCCTAATAGAAGTCGCATCCATACTATTTGAATAAATTGAACTAAAAATTCATCATTTCTCATATGTGTAGATGCTCTAATAGAAGCTGCATCCCCTCTGTTGCATTGTACCATTTTAATAGAAGCCGCGGCTTCTAATACAGATTTTACAGTATGTACAAGGCGTTAGCCGAGTACATATATGGAGCACAAAGTGTGCTTGAGTCCATTATGGGTTGGCAGGGATTTCATTATTGTTATTATTTTGTAGCGTTGTCAAGTCTAAAAAGCGGAAAATTTGGGGAAAAAATCAACAGTGAACGGAATAGTTTCACAGTCACTGGCCCGTGAATCTGGATAATTTAAAATGTCTTTCTGGAAATTGTTTCCACAATCTCGTATGGAAAACTAAGAAAGAGATATTATTGTATTGAACTCATCTGCATTGCGAGTGAATGAGTGACTGGTATGTGGTGTGGAGTAGCATTGCAGTGATTGTCCGAGCGAACAGCACACCGTGACTGGTACGCCGTATCGGTGTCCGCCACGGCCTTGCACTATGCTACGCTAGATCGCCACCGAGGTCCAGCTTGATCAACTGTCCGTAGGGATGCGTACCCGGGTACATGTACGTAGTTGCATCATTACCCCATCCCACT